CAGAGGACTGTGGACAGTTATTTTGTAAGACAGAAACAGACAACTGTAGACAGTTATTTTGTGAGACAGGGGTCCAGTGGACCTCAAGCCAGTTCCTAGTAGCATTAAAATACAGAGAAAGGGAAGTAACCCCAGAGGGGCTTTGATACCGAAGTCCCTTTATGGAAATGGAATTTCCTTCCAAAACACTAAACCCAACTCCCCTTCCTCCTCCCATCTGGTGTATGTAACTGTATTAATTCCCCTATAAAATGTTTTTTTTTTTTTTTTTTGTGAAATTTTTGGGTTTCTGGAATGGATTAATTGTATTCTTTATTTCTTATGGAAATATTGCTTCGATTTTCAGACTTTCGAATTAAAGTAGCTTTTCCCGGAAAGGAAGTTTAAATTCGAAATTTGAGGTTCCACTGTAGTGTCATCTGCAATAAATGTGGGGTTTTAGTAATTGCGATGCTTTGTAGGGCTTTATGTAAACGAGAAAGAAAGAGGGCCAAGGAACCTTCCCTTTGGACTCCAACTGTATGGTTTGTGTGGGAAAAGTTTCTCCCTTTTGTGACAATAATGGCTTCTGTTGCTAAGATGACTTTGGAGCAAATCATGGTCAACTGTATCAAAGCTTTACGTAAATCAAGAAGATCCCCCAATGGGACTTCTTTTTTCTTTATTTCAGTGTATAATTTGTCTAGCATTGTGTATAATATCAATTTCATATTTTTAAATTAGGCCTGACCCAAACTGAAAAGGGTTGAGTATGTTGTGGGAGATGAGGTAGGAATACATTCGCTTATGATTAATTTTTTTTCAAAAGATTTTAGAGAGAGATGTAAGTTGGATATTGGCCCCATAGTTTTTTTTTTCAAGTCTGTTTGATCTCCTCCTTTTGTATCCCGGGGAAACCCCCTGTTCTTCTTATTTTTTTTTTATTAAACCACTGGCCGATTCCCACCAAGGCAGGGTGGCCCCAAAAAAGAAAAACTTTCACCATCATTCAACTCCATCACTGTCTTACCAGAGGGGTGCTTAACATACAGTATAAAACTGCAACGTTAAACCCCCCCTTCAGAGTGAGACACTGTACTTTCCCCTCCCAGGACTCAAGTCCGGCCTTGCCGGTTTCCTGAATCCCTTCATAAATGTTATTTGCTAAAACCCTCCAACAGCCAGTCAAGTATTAAAAAACCCTTTGTCTCCCTTCACTCCTATCAAATAATAGTCACACATGGGTTGCTCGAAGTCCAAGCCCTTGCACACAAACCTCCTTTAAACCCCCCCCCTCCAACCTTTCCAGGCTGACCCTACCCTGCCTTCCTCACTACAGATTGGATACACCTCTTGAAGTTAAATTCTGTTTCATTCCATTCTCTTACATGTCCGAACCACCTCATACAACGCTTTTACCCTCTGGTACTAATTTTGGCAAATCTGCATATCCTCTTATACGTTCCTAACTACGAATTACTCTGCATTATATTCACACCCACATTGCCCTCATACATGACATCTGCCACTGCCTACCAGCCTTCTCCTCGCTGCATACATTCATACCCATGCTTCACTACCTATATAAGGTGTTGGTAAAACTATACTCGTCATACATTCCCTCTTTGCTTCCAAGGACAAAGTTCTTTGTCTCCACTGGACTCCTAAGTGCACCACTACTCCTGTTTACCCCTCATTCAATTCTATGATTACCCTCATCTTTCATTAGACACCATCTGTTGACATGTCCACTCCACAAATATCTGAATTCATTCACCTCCTCCATACTTTCTCCCCTTCCTAATCTGATATCAAGTGCATTCACCTAATCTTTTTGTTTACTCATAACTTACTGGCTTTCCTGTATTACCCCTTATTGTTCTTCTTTACATTACCACTACCAAATTCATCCACCAACCTATGCACACTTCGTCTTTCAGATATTCCCCAAGGCACGTGTCATCAGCAAAGAGCAACTGTGACAACTCCACTTATGTGTGTTACTTTCTTTAACTCACGTTTCTTGCCAAGACCCTACATTTACTGTTCTTACATTACCCCATCTATTTATATTAAACACCACGGTGACATCATACATCCTTGTCTAAGGCCTACTTTTACTGGGAAATAATCTCCCTCTTTCCTACATACTCTAACTTCTTCATTATTATATACTGTTATTACTGTGTTGTTATACTGTTATTACTGTGTTGTTATACTGTTATTACTGTGTTGTTATACTGTTATTACTGTGTTGTTATACTGTTATTACTGTGTTGTTATACTGTTATTACTGTGTTGTTATACTGTTATTACTATGCTGTTATACTGTTATTACTGTGCTGCTCTGCTGTTATACTGTTATTTCTGTGCTGTTCTGTTATGTTATATATTGTTATTACTCTGCTGTTCCGCTGTTAACCCTGATTATTTCTGATTTACGATGTTGTATTTCCCACTCTGTGCTGTTACTGTGCCATTACCCACTTATTGTGCTGTTACTGTGCCATTACCCACTTACTGTGCTGTTACTGTGCCATTACCCACTTACTGTGCTGTTACTGTGCCATTACCTACTTACTGTGCTGTTACTGTGCCATTACCCACTTACTGTGCTGTTACTGTGCCATTACCCACTTACTGTGCTGTTACTGTGTTATTACCCACTTACTGTGTTGTTACTGTGTTATTACCCACTTACTGTGCTGTTACTGTGTCATTACCCACTTACTGTGCTGTTACTGTGCCATTACCCACTTACTGTGCTGTTACTGTGCCATTACCCACTTACTGTGCTGTTACTGTGCCATTACCCACTTACTGTGCTGTTACTGTGTCATTACCCATTTATTGTGCTGTTACTGTGTTATTACCCACTTACTGTGCTGTTACTGTGTTATTACCCACTTACTGTGCTGTTACTGTGTTATTACCCACTTACTGTGCTGTTACTGTGTTATTACCCACTTACTGTGTTGTTACTGTGTCATTACCCACTTACTGTGCTGTTACTGTGTCATTACCCACTTACTGTGCTGTTACTGTGTCATTTCTCACTTACTGTGCTGTTACTGTGTTATTACCCACTTACTGTGCTGTTACTGTGTCATTACCCACTTACTGTGCTGTTACTGTGTTATTACCCACCTACTGTGCTGTTACTATGTCATTACCCACTTACTGTGCTGTTACTGTGTCATTACCCACTTACTGTGCTGTTACTGTGTTATTACCCACCTACTGTGCTGTTACTGTGTCATTACCCACTTAATGTGCTGTTACTGTGTCATTACCCACTTACTGTGCTGTTACTGTGTCATTACCCACTTAATGTGCTGTTACTATGTCATTACCCACTTACTGTGCTGTTACTGTGTCATTACCCACTTACTGTGCTGTTACTGTGTCATTACCCACTTATTGTGCTATTACTATGTCATTACCCACTTACTGTGCTGTTACTTTGCCATTACCCACTTACTGTGCTATTACTATGTAATGACCCACTTACTACACTGTGAGTGTTATTTTGATCTTACTAAATTATGCAGGTGTGATGTTTAAGGTTAGGAAGCCTTTAATTAAGTAACTGTGATTTTGATTACTTCAAGGTTTGTCTGTCTTTGGTCAATTTAATGACTCGGTATGACCAAATTCTTTGTTGTTTTGTTTGTAAGTTTTCCATTCTATCAGTTAAGCATAAACTTCTTATTTATCTATCAGCACTACCCTATAAAGTGCCCAGAAGTCGGTATATTTGGCATATTTTACACAACATTTCACAAATTCCGGTTTACCTGGAGTATACTTGGAGAGAGTTCTGGGGGTCAATGCCCCCATGGCCCAGTCTGTGACCAGGCCTCGTGGTGGATGAAGGCCTGATCAACCAGGCTGTTACTGCTGTCTGCATGCAATCCAACATATTAACCACAGCCTGACTGGTCAGGTGCTGAGTTAAGGTGCCTGTCCAGTGCCTGCTTGAAGTCAGCCAGGGGTCTTGAAGACAGCCAGGGGTCTTGAAGACAACCAGGGGTCTTGAAGACAGCCAGGGGTCTTGAAGACAGCCAGGGGTCTTGAAGACAGCCAGGGGTCTTGAAGACAGCCAGGGGTCTTGAAGACAGCCAGGGGTCTTGAAGACAGCCAGGGGTCTTGAAGACAGCCAGGGGTCTTGAAGACAGCCAGGGGTCTTGAAGACAGCCAGGGGTCCAATGGTAGTTCCTCTTATGTAACTGCCTCTTAAGTGTGCTGGGAGGCAGTTTAAAAACATTTCACAATAAATACTGTAGCCACTTCAGCCACTAAAGTAACCTTTCCTCTGATAATTAATCATGTTCTGAGCCTCTTCTATATAACACTTGCTGTCCATTTTGATTCCTTCTTTAAAAAACGAAGGGTGCTCTACCTCTGCTTTTCAGGAAATTCGTAAAAAATAAATTACTATATACGTATAATTTATTTCCACGATTTTGAGTTCTTCTTCAGTCCACTTTTAATCTTAAACTGACTAAATAACGAAAAAAGGCACAATACCGTGACTGGAACGATATACAAATAACCCGCACATAGAAGAGAGGAGCTTTGTTAATGGTCCAAGTCGGACCGAAAGATCGTCGTTAGCTCTTCTCTTCTATGTGCAGGTTATTTGTGTATCTTAAACTGACAAAACTAATCTCCATCTCACTAGCATGTCTTATAGTCTTTCAATTGGGTCTCAGAAGAAGCTAGTAAAACCACCCTGGAAAATGCCTCAGTTACTATATTAACCCAATCAAGTAAGAGATTAGTTGTACCCATCATGCTATTTCAGGGACAGTATTTTTTTATACACTGGACACCTACTGCAATGATCCATTCTCTCATGTCTAGACCAAAATTTACTGCTCACAGCATATCTGAGAGCACTGTGACTAAGATGTTGATCTACATCTGTGACACTGATTCAACTGATATAGATCTACATGAATAACAATGAAAGGGTTAATATTTGTCCAGTGTAATTTAAGTAATTATCTTTAACACAGGCAATATTACGTCCAGTTCTACTGATTGTCGACCACAGGCAAAAACCACGTTTCACTGTTTGATCAATAACCACAAGGAATATCACGTCCAGTCTCTCTGTTTGAACACTGGCAACAGGCAACATCACTCCAGTCCCACTGTTGACTGCTGAAGAAATTCGAGTACCACTGACAGCTCATCAATGATGGTAAGAACAATTTACATACCACTCACAGTTTATCATTGATGGGAAAGAGAGATGGTTCTTGTGTACTCACTGTGGTTTTCTCATCTAGGTGAGTCTCTTGCTCTTGGGACTCCACCTTTGCTCATAATAAATTATCTGATATACTGATTATCTATTTGTAAGGTCATTGTCAGAAATAATTAGCTTATATTTCCTAGTTCATTTGAACTCCTAGTTTCCATTTGTGTTTCATTAATTTCACTCCAGTGTTGAACATCTTAACAGACACATACCAGGGAACTCCTGAGACCGAAAGGTTTTTATTAAACCAAAAGATAACAGAACCTACTTGAAGTGACATTGAACTAAATTTTATCTTAACAGATAACTAGGAATGAATTAAAAACATAATATTAAGTACAAGAAACTGGTCATTGACATACAAGTAAATCTAAATTCATATTTTGGCAATGGAAAGTTCATCAGATTTACTACAGGTCAGCCATCACTAATCCGGCAGTCAGTTATCTGGTTCTATCAGTAATCTGGCACTAATTTTGGCTAGCATAATTTCAAATTTTATCATTATACTGACTCAGAAATTGCACAGATGGTTGTAAATCCACAGCAGCAAGCCAGTGGAGGAGAAAGCAGTGATGAAAATGAGGAAGATGTAGCAGAGTCTCTATTGATAGGTTAATTAAGTGTATTCTAACCTAACCACTCTGTAATCCAGGAAACTCACTAATCCAGCACACTACAGGTCCCAATGATGCTGGATTAGTGATGATCAACCTGTATCATTAACCCTTAAACTATCCAAAGGAAGATCTATGGTTTGTTTTACATGCTTTCTTATGGAGAAAATCAAGGTTGGAGCGCTATGCGCGCAAACGTAGATCTGCGTTTTGTTTTACATACAGTGGAACCTCAAAAATCGAACTGCTCCCAACACAACCAATTATGTAAGTGTATTTTTGTAAGTGCTTTTATAAGTGTATTTTTGAGGGTCTGAAATGGACTAATCTAATTTACATTATTCCTGATGGGAATAAATTAATTCGGTAAAGGCACTCGAACAGCCCTCTGGACTGAAGAAAGTTCGATATTTGAGGTTCCACTGCACTTTCTTATTTAGAAAATCAAGGCCGGAGTGCTATGTGCGCAAACGTAGATCTACGTTTGGACAGTTTAAGGGTTAATCCAAGGACTGACTATTAAATGTTCCTTGGGAAATCATCCTGAGCACACTTAGCCCAAAATAATTTATAAAAAAAGTCAGTTGCAACCTGGAGTTTACTTGGATTTAATTTTGGAGGTCACCTCTCATTGGTCCGGTCTTACTAAGACTGGACTAATAAGTATAATGTGGAGTAAAATAATTAATAAAATCTCCTTTTTTTTTCACTATAAAACTAAGTTTTAAAACATGGGATAATTATATCAGTAATTAATGTGGTCATGGGCAGCCTGGATTTTGTGCTGTGTCAGTATTCCTCACACAATTTTTTGTAATACTCTACAAATTTCTACTAATTTTATTTTTTACCCTCATCATGAAAGTCAAGGAATGTGTATATACAGTACAGTGGAGGTTATGATACAGTACTGTTTGTGTACTTACAGTACAGTGTAACTTATGATACAGTACTGTTGGTGTACTTACAGTACAGTGGATGTTATGATACAGTACTGTTTGTGTACTTACAGTACAGTGTAACTTATGATACAGTACTGTTGGTGTACTTACAGTACAGTGTAACTTATGTATACAGTCTGTTTGTGTACTTACAGTACAGTGTAACTTATGATACAGTACTGTTGGTGTACTTACAGTACAGTGGATGTTATGATACAGTACTGTTTGTGTACTTACAGTACAGTGTAACTTATGATACAGTACTGTTGGTGTACTTACAGTACAGTGTAACTTATGATACAGTACTGTTTGTGTACTTACAGTACAGTGTAACTTATGATACAGTACTGTTGGTGTACTTACAGTACAGTGGATGTTATGATACAGTACTGTTTGTGTACTTACAGTACAGTGGATGTTATGATACAGTACTGTTTGTGTACTTACAGTACAGTGGATGTTATGATACAGTACTGTTTGTGTACTTACAGTACAGTGGAGGTTATGATACAGTACTGTTGGTGTACTTACAGTACAGTGTAACTTATGATACAGTACTGTTGGTGTACTTACAGTACAGTGTAACTTATGATACAGTACTGTTGGTGTACTTACAGTACAGTGTAATTATGATACAGTACTGTTGGTGTACTTACAGTACAGTGTAACTTATGATACAGTACTGTTGTGTACTTACAGTACAGTGGAATTTATGATACAGTACTGTTGGTGTACTTACAGTACAGTGTAACTTATGATACAGTACTGTTGGTGTACTTACAGTACAGTGTAACTTATGATACAGTACTGTTGGTGTACTTATCAGTACAGTGTAACTTATGATACAGTACTGTTGGTGTACTTACAGTACAGTGTAACTTATGATACAGTACTGTTGGTGTACTTACAGTACAGTGTAACTTATGATACAGTACTGTTGGTGTACTTACAGTACAGTGTAACTTATGATACAGTACTGTTGGTGTACTTACAGTACAGTGTAACTTATGATACAGTACTGTTGGTGTACTTACAGTACAGTGTAACTTATGATACAGTACTGTTGGTGTACTTACAGTACAGTGTAACTTATGATACAGTACTGTTGGTGTACTTACGTACAGTGTAACTTATGTATACAGTACTGTTGGTGTACTTACAGTACAGTGTAACTTATGATACAGTACTGTTGGTGTACTTACAGTACAGTGTAAGTTATGATATACTAATGTGGTCAGTTCTAGGTTAAGATGTTAATGTGGTCAGTTCTAGGTTAATATGTTAATGTGGTCAGTTCTAGGTTAAAAATGTTAATTAACACAGTTTTGAAACATTAAATATGATATAGGAAAGAATGTTTCATTGAAACTTGTTTATAAAACTGAGGTCTAAAATATGCAGCTTCCATCACTGGTTCATTCTTGTTTTAATTACGTATAAATTGGCATAGTCAGCCATTAGCATCATCTACAGTCAGCCAGGGCTACCTGGCATTAAAACTATTAAACACTTTGACATTGTAGCCCATGTTAATGCTGACAAGTCAATGTTTACACTCTGGTATGAGGTACAGTGTGAGTGAGTGTAGCTTACGACAGCTATTAAACAACACAGGCGGGGCTTGAACTCACAGTTAGTGAGTCGTAAAACTCCAGACCGACGTATTGCCTGATTTTAACCCCTTGATTGTCGCAACCCCAAATCCTGAGGTGCCTCCTGGTGTTGCAAAATTTCCAGAAAAAAAAAAAAAATTCTTATGAAATGATAGAGAATCTTTTCCCGATTGTAATGACACCAAAAGAACGAAATTTGATGGGAAATGTATGGAATTACGCTCTCGCGAAGTTAGCGACCTCGGCGATATTTACGAATCGGCAATTTTGCCCACTTTGAGCCCTATTTTCAGATAATTCCATTGTTCCAGTCGACCAAACTCATAGCTATTTCTTTAGAACTCCATTTGTTCTATCGATTGAGTACAAGAAACTGCCTATTTACCGATTTCAACTACCCAGTAATGTGGTAAAAAATTTGCAATTTGGCCAATTTCACGCAATTTAAAAAATATGCCAATTTCAAAATAGGGTCCAGAATGAACAATACAGACATTCCTGGCTCTAAAATAACATTTTCTTTGTTCATCAGTCATGTCTCCAGGCCCCTCTGATATTACTCTTGCTTTCTATTTTGAATTTTTATTCAAACAAAAAATAGAAGATTTACTGTTATGCAGACTACTGGAGTATTGTAATAATTATATAAATAATGTCAACCCATTCATGACTGCATATCAGAATGGCTAGTTGGACATTTATTGGACAGTGACATCATTTGTTTACTTTTGAACATGAGCAAAAATCAAACATTTCCCCTTCTTTGAGCTCCATTTCAAGGTTCTTTTCATAGTATAACCAATCAAAATCACCTCTATTTCTATAATATGTTTTCCATTCTATCAAATGAGACCAAGAAAACGAGAATACAACCATAAATACTATACGAAAATACACCACAAAGACGGCATTTTAATCCAAAATAACGGTCGGAGTTTTTTTTTCTCATTATGTACTGCATGCTGCAGGATTTCTTTTGTATGGTGCACACTGACCACACACTCATTTTCTCACATGTGGTCCTACCAGCTTTCTCCTGCTTGATTTGAAGCCCCAAGAATGTATGAGTATATATGCATCAAACACGGTGGTTGTATATATGCGACCGAAACAGTCAAAGGGTTAATACTGTTGATGGTTTGCACTCTGGTATGAGGTACAGTGGAAGTGAGTGTAGCTTATGGCAACTATTAAACATACCATAGGGGGGGGGGGGGGCTTGAACTCACGGTTAGTGAGTTGGAAAACTCCAGACCGACACATTGCCTGAGTTTAATACTGTTGATGGTTTACACGCTGGTATGAGGTACAGTGGAAGTGAGTGTAGCTTATGACAACTATTAACCCTTTGACTGTCGCGACCCCAAATCCTAAAGTGTCTGTGTTGCAAAATTTTCGAAAAAAAAAAAAATTCTATGAATTGATAATCTTTTCCTGATGTTAATGACACCAAAAGTACAAAATTTGATGGAAAACGTACAGAATTATGCTCTTGCGAAGTTAGCGATCTTGGCGATGCTTACGCATCGGTAATTTCGCCCACTTTGAGCCCTATTTTCGGCCAATTCCATTGTTCCAGTTGACCAAACTCATAGCTATTTCTTTAGAACTCTATTTGTTATATCGATTGAGTGCAAGAAACCGCCCATTTAGCAATTTCAACTATGCAAGAAAGTGGTCAGAAATTGGCAATTTATCCAATTTCATGCAAATTAAAAAAGATGTCAATTTCATAATAGGGTCCAGACTGAAAAATGCAGACATTCCAG